AGGAAGCGAGAGAGTTCGCTTTTGCAGCACATCCAGCCCCAGCTCCACCCGGATCCCGCGAGCTAGAGCTCCGCCCCCAGCCCTGGAGGAGGGCCTCACCCCAGCGCTCCCACGTGATCCGCGCTCTAGCCCCGCCTCCGTCCGGCTTGGCCCCGCCCCGCTCCGGTAAGCTCAGCGCCTTTACGGCGAGTCAGGGAGAAGTGAGGCGGGACTTCCGGTGTTTGAAAAGCTTCCGGCGGGAACCGGAAGATGCGGTCACACACTCAGAATCCCGGGCCTTCTGACGCGCGGGGCGGGAAGGTGAGCTGAATGTCCGCCTTGGCGGTCTTTTTGCGGGCTCGCGTGAGCCCGGCCTCCGGGCTCCGGTATTTTTGGGGCCTATTTAAAAAGTTATGTGCGCTCCGTTGGGAAATAACATCCCTTTTTTTTAAAGTGAGAAGTTTCATTACATTTTACTGTCTGCGGTCTGTATCTCACAACCCACATCCGGAAGACCCCTCCTAGCTGCCGCGTGTCACCTGGAGCGACTTCTCAGTCAAATTGCAGCTCTTACCGTATAGGGGCAGACATGGGCAAGCCCGGGCAAGCCTAGATTGTTTGTACACCTGAAATTATTGGAAGTGGGGGCAGAAGCACGCTTTTCACTATCAGATCGTGGACCCGTCTGAATCTGCTGCATTCTCAGCAGTGTGCCTGGCATATAGCAGGCGCTGAATAACTGTTGAGAAAGGAATCCTGGGAACCCTGGGCACTTTTGATCGAACCTCCCACACGACAGCTTGTCATTAATGTGTGTGGAATGGGAAACAAGCCTAGTCTTGGTGTTTGGGGGTCTGGGATCTAGTACTTCCTCTGCCAGGTAGCTCGTCCCTTTGAGTAAACCATTTCTCCTCACTGGATCTCAGGTTTCTCATTCATTAAAGAAAATAGCAGGACTATCTGATTTCTGAGGCACTTTCCAGCTCTAGTATTTTCTTTTTGTTACTTAGGTAGGGGTCTGTGCCGACATTCCAAGCACCTGTGTTGGTACCTTCAGGGAACCTTCTTTAGGTGCCTCTTAAAAAGTTGTTCCCCTCTGCTCTCCTGCTTACATGTTCTAATTGTGGTTTTTCCAATTTTAATATTTGTTTTTGTGCAGGTTTCTCCGCCCCCTTGCCCCAGTTTTCACTTGCCTTAGTTTAGTGCCTTCTCCCTTAGTAACATCACAGCTACTTCCAAGGTGTTGATTTTGAAAATGCTCACGTGCCCACAGAGATAAGACAGCTTGGAAGGAGTGAAAATCTCAAGCCTCTAAGAATAGGGATGTTCTGTGCCATCACTTTTTCAGGAAAGCAATGAGTGCCATGTGTAATGCTGCCTAATAGTGATGGGTAAAAAATGTGTATTCCTCTACAGATACCATTTTTGTATGTATTCTTATGTTCCTTTAATAAATATAGAGCAGCTATTAAGTGCCAGGCTCTGATGCAGAAGTGAATGTGGCACATGTGGTTCCTACATAGTGTTTGCTGCCATGAAGTAAACATGAGGGATGCAGACAATAAACAACGATAATTATAGATTGTGTTATATAGTACTGTATAAAGGAAGTAAATAGGGTTCTATAATAATATTATATCCTGGAACCCCATTTTAAAGCCTAAAATATTGAGCTTTAAGAGATGGGAAGGAGGCAGCCTATTGATGAGCAGGGGGAATAGTGCTCCACGCAGAGTGAACCTGAGGTGGGAAGGAATCATGCTTGTTACAGCAACTGAAAGAATGATGTATTTACAAGTGGCAAATGTAGTTAGATAGGTGGGTGGGGGTCAGTCCTGCAGGGCATTTTAGAAGGCCGCGGTGAAAAAATATAATTTGATTCTAAAGGGAGGATGGAGTGGGAAGTCTGAATGGTTTTTAAGCATTTTCTAAGTGATCTTTTGGACTGATATGTGGAGAATGGATTGTCAGGGCAAGAGTGGAGGCAGGGAGGCCAGTTAAGAGGCTGTCAATCCAGGCGAGAGATATTGGGGAGTAAAGACTCACTGGAGATCATAGAGATTTAAGATATATTTTGGGGAAAGAATTTATGTGACTTGCTAATAGACTGCATGTAGGTGATGAAAGAAAAAAGGATTGCAAGATTTTGGCTAAGCAAATGAAACTTTGGAGGGTAATGGAGATGTTCAGTATCTTGATTATGGAGACGTGTATACATGTCAAAACTTATAAAATTTGTACACTTTAAACATTTACAGGTTATCGTATGTCAGTTATAGCTCAATGAAGCTGTTAAAAATTTTCCAAGGTTCTGGCTTAGCAAAGAACCATCCATCTAGGTGGTGCCATTTACTGCGATGGGAAAGACTAGGGTAGGAATGGGTTTTAGAACAAGGAATGGTTATCAAGAGTTGTATTGTGGATATGTTAAATTTTAGATAACTATGAGGCATCTAAATAGTTATATAGGCAGGCATTTTATTATGTAAATCAGAATCTCAGAGGCAAGATTTGGGATGGAGGTATTAGGATTGTTAATAAGTAGGTACTATAGGTATTTAAAACCATGGAAATAGATGAAATTTTGGTTGATCTAACAAATTCTATGATACAAAGTAAGAGAGCAAGGGAGGCATGGGGATGGAAATAATTCCCCAGAACCTTGGTCTTTAGACTGGAATATGCATACCCCTGGGAGTATACCTGGCATAGATAGTTTTTAAGAAATAATTTCTAGGTCCTCAGCATCTGTGTATACTCTTTCTAAAACTGATCTGCATGAAATTGCCCTATGTATTCGTGCATATTCTCCTTTCCCACCTCCCTTTTCAAATTAGTATTTTTTTCTAACTGTCAAAAGACAAATTGACGTCTTATCCATCTTTCCATGGTAACATTGCCTCGGTGTCTAATAAAGGGGCAACTGGAAATATTTGTTTCAGGGAAATTTTAATGGTTAATCAAAATACAAGCCTGTCAAGCATTTGTCCATCCTGATTTTAAACTCATTTCTGTTAAGGCTGAAGTGTGGCATTAGAATTGGTACGTGGTGGTCCGTGTGGGAATCTTCTGATTCAGGTACATTGTAGAATGGGGTGGTGAGAGTGGTTGTAAGATGATCTGGTTGGGTTGTTTGATGGGGAGCTTAGCACTTTCAGATTTTTACTCTTGGGCTGGTCAGTTTCTCCAGAGAAGAGCCTTACCATTCTTCTTAAAGGGTAAGGATCTGACTGGCAGCTTTTTGGGAGCTTAGTGGGAGAAGAGGACTCTGGGGGAGGGGGGGGGGTCTCTGCGTTTAGTGTTTAGTCTGTTTGGTTCCCATGCCCACAACCGTACTTGGTGTCCTCTAGTTTAGGGATTCTGTTTTACCTTCTCCAGATAGTAAACTTGCATACGTTTTCCTGGGGCAGTTGCCTAATAGCCTGGAGTGGAGTAGGACACCTAGAGATGCTCTTTTGTCTCAGACAGTTTACACCCAGCCCCTACTCCCTTCACCCTTAGTTTCAAGGTATCAGGTATTGCTTCCTGTGATCTTTTTGAAGATACTGCAGAGTAAACTGGTTTGGTTCTGAAATTCTCCCCCACTGCTGGCTTGGGATTGAATTTTTATGTAGTGAAATCTGTTAATCTTTTTGGCTTTTGGAATTTTGAGTTATGCCTAGGAAAACGTCTGTTTCCCCACCTTCACTCAAAATTATGAAAATAGTCTTCTTTACTTTTTGTAGTGCTTTTGTAGTCTTATTTTGTACATTTTAAATCGTTAGTCAATGTGGAATATATTTTTGTTCATGGTATAGACGTAGAAATTAAACACTTGTTTTCCTCCAGAGGGAGAACTGGTTGTCTCAATACCACTTACTGAATAGTCCATTTCTGCCTTGGTTTGAAATGCCACCCCATCATACACTAACTTCCTCTGTTTTTGTTTTGTTGTGGTAAAATACATATAACACAGAAATCACGTTACCTGTTTCTTTAGAAGCACTTATTTGAGGAAAGATGACCTGCATAAACATAAAATCCCAAAAAGGGGTGAAGGAGAAGATAGAAGATTATTTTTTCTGCTTGAGACTGTTTTCCTTTTGTTCTCCTGGTTCCTTCTGGCTGCTTCCCTGCCCAGTGGTTCTTCACTTACTGGACTGAGTTGACCTGTATCTACTGGGAGAACATGTTCTCTTTTGTAACAACCCCTTTGGTATTTCTATGCGGCATTCCTTCCTCCAAGTAGAGGTTAGAACCAGAGGCATTATAACATATGACTGGTTTAGGAACTTGTTTAAGGGGCTCTAAATATGTCAGAGTCTAATGTGGTTTTTATGGTTTGACGTATGTCCTTTAGTTAATAAAAGTTGTCAACTAAAGTGAATTTGTTTACCTCCTGTATTATTTGATGTCTCTGGTTATGTCTTAATTTTTTTTAGAGCTGGTCCTTTGAATTTGACAAATATTTTCTAGTGGCATTAGTTATTATTTTATTTAAATATTGTGAACTTTTATTATAAGGGAATGGATTATCTTGTTTTGGAAATATCCTGGCTGCTTATTCAGTCAATCAGCATCATTTACTTGACTGTCAACTTTGTAGGGAGGACTCTACTTTATATACTGTAAGGAGACGTAGAGCAGGGAAAATACTTCTTGCCTTTGAGATATAATTTAATAAAGAACTTTGTAATTTTGTCTGATAGACCATCAAATAAAATTTGTAGTATACTCAAGCATATAACTCTAAAAAAACTAAGAATTGTCACCATGTAGAGGCTTGTTCTTCCAAAAGTGGTGCACACTCATGAGGCTTTTGAGACCGTTGGAAAGCTGCTAGCTGCTCTCATAATTGGCAGCCACATAGTGGGGAAACCAGTGTTTGGGCTTGTGAATGATCCTCATTTTTTTTTCGGTGGTGTTTTCTAGCAGCAAATCTGTTGGAGTGTTAGTTTTGAATGGCACATCACTTTGTAGACAAAATAAGTGATCATTCAAGTGATTGAAATCATGCTGCTTTCATATTCTCTTTCTTCCAGATGTCATCATTGCCAAGAAGAGCAAAAGTAAAGGCCCAGACTGCAGTAGCCAAAGATGAATTTTCTTCCTTCTCCGAGCTGTAAGCATTTTGGTTTTATGTAGGGGTCGGAGAATGATGTATATTTTAAGGAGTAATGCATTCTGTCACTTACTAACTTCTTAAGTCATTTGGGTTGAAGAAGGCTGTTTTTTTTTTTGGTTCACTCATGCAACAAATATTTGTTGAACTCATGCTGTGTCCCAGGCTTTTTTTAGGTATTGGTGAACTGTTGAACAAGGAGAGAGAAAGTAACCAACTAAATATATAACATAATATTTATATTAGAATGTAAACTCCATGAGAGCCAGGGAGGTTTTTATATTGATTTAGAGCAGGGTTTCTCAACCTCAGCTCTATTGACTGGATAATTCTTTGCTGTGGGAAGTGTCCTTTGTATTGTAGGATGTTTAGCAGCATCCCTGGTCTCTACCTACTAGATGCTGATAACACCCCCTCCCCCCAGTTGTGACAATAAAAAATGTCTCCAGATATTACCAGATGCCCTCTGTGGGGGCAGAATTGTCCCCACTTGAGAACTTCTGCTTTAGAGCACCATAGCAGGTCCCCTGAAGATATTTAACTAAATGACTGATTAATGTTAGGCAGTAATAAGTACTGTAGAGAAACATAAAGCAGGGAAAGAAATAGAGAGCAAAGTGGTTCTAGTAGGGGGACTTCTTGGATACAGTAGTCAGGGAAGTTCTTTGGGAAGATGTGGCAAGAGATCTAAATGAGATTTGGGAGTGCAAGTTGCCTTTGCAACTTGCAAAGGTCTGTGGGATGAGTGTTCCAAGTAGAGGGAAGAGCAAATGCAAAGACCATGAGGCAAGAATGAGCTTGGTCTGTTCAGGGAATGGCAAGACCAGCGTCACCCAAGCAGTGTGATTGGAATGCATAGGATCTAATAGTCTATGACAGGGTGTGAGGGTTTTATTTGAAATGGCTTGGGAAGCCACTGGAGGGCTTTGGGCAGGAATATGACATGATCTGGTTTACATTTGCAAAAGATCATTCAGTTTCTTGTTGGAGAACAGACTATAACAAGGGAGGGAATGAGAAAGGAAGCAGGGGGATTGGCTAAGGAGGTTAGTGTAGAAGCCTAGGGTCTTAGAAGTGAAAGTGGTCTAATTTGGGGTATACTTTGAGGATAGAGTAGATAGGATATGATGATGCATTAGGGATCCATTAGGATTTGGAATGTGAAGGAAAGACAGGACGAATCTTTGGGGAAGACTGGAAGAGGATCAGTTTTGACGGTAGTGAAATCGGTTCTGTTTTGACGTGCTAAGTTTGAGATGATTGCTAGATATCCAATGAAAGTGGATATACAAGTCGAGCTCAGGTCAAGTGGGAGATGTAAAATTGAGATTCCTCTATATTCAGCTATAGGATGAGCTAAGGTCATCTAGTAGGAGAGCATAAAGAGAAGAGGGCTGAGGACGAAGTCTTGGAGGATCCCAACACTGAAAGGTTGGGGAGAGGAGAGGAGTAAGCAAAAGGACTAAGGAGGAGCTGCCAGGGAGGTAGGAGGGAAACGAGGGGAGGGGTGTTCCTGGAAGGTGTGACAGACGTGCTCCAAGGAGTGAGTGCCACATGCTGCTGAGAGGTCAGGTATGCTTAGGAGTGAGAGTTGACTAGCTGTCTTAGAACTGTCTCATGTATAATAAAATAATACCTGTACCGTATTTTTCTTTATAATAACTGAAAGCACTTTTGAGTCTGTCCTATAATCTTTGCAATTTTCCTGTATGAAATAAGGTTAGTACTCCTGCTTGACAGATGATGAGACTGAGGTAGAAAGAAGTCATTCTGTTCAGTTTGGTGATAGTGTGAGGAATGGAACCCTGGTTTTCTGATTCCTTGGTTTTTGATTCTCATTCCTTTCAATTCCACTGCTCTTGTGTTATGTTAGTTTAATGATTCTCTGTTTGTTTTTTGCCTACTTTTAGGCTTTAGTGAGCATCCACCTCTGAAGAGATCTCACTTGGAGACTATCAGTGGCTTGACCTGTCTTAATTATGCTCTCTTACAACATGATTTAGCTAAGAAGTCATCCAAGCAGGTTTTTTCCTCCGGGTAGAACTTAAACCATTAAAAAAGCCAGTCATCCCTTTTCACTAGTCTCACTGAAGGAAGTGGTTATCCTTCCCACCAATATTGACCTTTTATGTTAGGGATGGAAATGGAATCACCTGGGTTGACAGGAGCGTGATGTCCCTTTACCAGAGCTCGCGTGGCTGCCTTTTCTCTGCTGTTGCTGTGACTTTGATTCTTGGGTGGGTAGTAAAGTGCTGTAGCTGCACCTTACGCAGTCTATTCAGGAAACCAATCCATTCTGTGAAAGGGAAAAAGGGTTAATTAAAGCAGTTGGAAGGGTCTTGATGCTGGCTTTTCATGTAATTTAGGGTGTTTCCTAGAGCCGTTTCCCACTCCTTACATTGATTTGAATAACTTAATACATTTAAATGAATTTGATTAGCACTTAGGAAATTATTTAAGTGCTTTTCACTGTTAAAATAGAAAATGTCACAATGACTATGGTGTGACATGACCCAGTAAATTACTTAAGGTAATAAATGATTTCCTGTGTCTTGAGTGTATGTGTGCGTGTGTATGTTGGTTTGGTGAGAGCAGAATGGGGAGACCTGTGATTCACAGCCCATCAAGGGGGATTTTACCTTGGTCCTGGATTACCTCTCTTGTTTCAATTCTTAGCAATATTTATTCACAGCCAGTGCTCACATCACTTCATTTTATATTAAACACCTCCTACTTTATTTTTTTTTCAGGAAGCATATGTCTCTTTTTTGCATTTAACATTTGCCTTCATTTTTCCTGGGAATTTTTCTGTCAATTTACTCCTAGATCATCTGCCTCTGAAGAAGATGACAAGGAAGATAGTGCCTGGGAGCCTCAAAAGAAAGTCCCCAGAAGCCGTAAGCAGCCTGTTCCCAAGGAATCCAAACCAAAGAGGGTGCCACGGGTGAAGAAGAACACCCTACAGATCAGTGATGGCCCAGAAGGCGTGGCTGTTAAGGAGGAGCTGGTAGGTCCTTTAGCTGGATAGAGGGAACATTGTAGTGCCTTCCTTATTGGTGATGCTGCTTTCTCCTTACACAGAGTAGGACAAAGCAGGCAAATGACAAAAACTGCAGGACAGTAGTGTCCTCTGTTATGGATCTTAACAGTATTTACCATCAGATCCACTATTGGAGGAGAAGGAATATTTATGATCTGGCATATATGTCTATCTTGCCAAGGCAAACACTCTGTCTATGCCAATCAGGATTAAAAAAACGAACAACAATAAATTATAGGCTCTTTTGCATTACAGAAAGAATTATGCATTTCCAAAATCACTCACTGTGGTATTCCTTTAAATAACAGCTTCTTTAGTACATTTAGAATAATACTCTTTTAATATCCATTGGATGCCTGACTTTCCAGGGGCACATTTATTGTGTATAGCAGGGGACATTATGTTGTACCTTACTGTGCCCTTGGATCGGGCTTTTGAATCAACTTTTTCTCCTATTACCCAGGACCACTGTTTCTTCTTTTCATGTAGGCTTTTCGTTGCACACACTTTTAGTGTGTGGGTGGGCTTTACCTATAGCTGAGAAAGTATTGACTCCTATCATCTTGTGGGCAGAATTTGAAGGTTTTTCATTAACCATGGCATAGACGCCCTTAAAGGTAGCTTGATTGCTTAACCTAGGAAATATCTCTTGGTTCAGTGGTTCCTTGTATTAGAGTCACAAACCCTTTGAGAATTGATAAAAGTTATGAATCCCATTTTAGCAAAATCAGTAAAATGTGCATGTGCCTGTCCTCTAACTTTTAAAGTATAGTCCAAGGGTGTATAGCTTAAGAACTCTTGTCATGGTGACTTCTTGATCCTTCCAGTGATGCTTGGTGTATTTATATTTTTTAAAGGAAAAAGAGAATTCAAATAGAAAGTTTTTCAATTAAGAGACATTCTGGGGGGGTTTTTAGAATTTCTTTCAGAATTGCCAAAATTCATGTTTTGTAGTTCAATGAAAGCACATGGAACATGTTAGAATATTTCATTTTGTTAGGTTTGGCAATTTGCTCCTCTATAACCAAAGTAAATGAACAAAATAGTTGAAAACCCTATTTGGGGTAGAGCTAGAACTGGCAGCCTCCTAATAATTTAAAAATCCATTGTTAGTGAACATTACAGACAATATTCATCATTATTCAGTCTCTTGTTCTCCATGTTGCTGGCATTTACCACCCCAATGGCCACTCTCCTTCATTCATTGAAGACTTGAGCTCCTGCTTCATGTCTTCCTCTTCTGTCATCATTCTTAGTTATTTCCCCCTTCATTTGGATGAGCCATCTAATACCCTGTCTTCTTGAGTCTTTGACCTCCTCATCTTCAGTGACTTTTTCTTCTTCTCTGCCTTCACCCCCATCATGATCTCAACTTGAATCTTGTCATCACCAGAAACTGTTACCACTGACATTTCTTTCTCAGCCATCCCACCTTTGTACCACCACCTCACCATTTCCTGTTCTTCCAGCTCACTTGTTAGGTATCCTCACTGCCACAGGTTTGCAACCTTGTCACAACATCTCATCAGTAATTCTCAACCTAGGGAACTTGAAAAAATGCCAGTGCCTAGGCCCCCTTTCCAGACCAGTTAAATCTGGAAAGAATTCTGGCGGTGGGCCTGAGCATCCGTGGTTTTATTTTCTTAAAGCTCCTCAGGTGATGTTTATGGACAGCCAGGGTTGAGAACCACTCCCTAGTCCTTTGACTCTAGTGCTCTATCATTGGCAGTCAGCCCTTTTCTGTTCCTACCTGATCTAGCCTAGATTACATAATCTGTCATATAAATCACTTTTTATTAAATAGTCTCACCGTTTTTGCCCTTCTTTCCTTCCATCATCCATGACTGATCGAACATGGATGCTGGATGAGCCATAGCCTCTCCTCTGCCACACCGAGCAGCTGACTGTTGCTGGAAACAGTCTTACCAATGACTTAATTTGTTTTCTTTTAGAGTCAAAACCTCAGACCTCAAAATGGCATCTAAAATACCTGGTAGGTTCCTTATTTTTCCCCAGTAGGTTTGTTTTTCCACTTTTTCCCTTCTCTTAAACTTCCTAAATTTCTTTCTTTTCTCTCATTCTCAGCTGATGACTTTGCCTTTTATGTGTTTGAGAATATATGAAGTTTCTCATTTTCTCAAGCTACCTATATTTGCATTCATCTTCTTTTGTCCTATTACCCTGGAGGGAATGTTATTCCTCCTGTCAAGGATTAGTCCCACTGCTTGGGCTTCAGATCCCATCCCCTCTTGTCTTCTCAAATTCTCTGCTCCTTTGCTCATCCCATTTCTTCTCTCTTGTCAACATTTCTTCCATTGGCTCAGTTGCTCCAGAGTATAACAATGCTCTTTTACGTCTAATTTTTAAGAATCCTCCCCTTGACACCATATCCCTCTCCAGTTATCTGTCAAGCTCACACAGTACAACACCAGGCAACGCCAAGGCCAAGGCCTGCTGACTGATTTGACTGGTAAAGATACAATGAGCCACTTTTCGATTTAGACAGTTTGCTACTTTCAGAGACAGCAAAACAAACGTGGTCAAATTCTTCTTAGAGTCTTGGGCTACCTAATAACCAGAGTGTTAAGAGTGATTAAAAAAAGCCATGAAAGCAAAAGAAAATGAACTTTGATTATTCAGTCTGTCAAAAATTCAGGTTAGGTTAGAGGCAGCCCTGATGGTCTAGTGGTTAAAGTTTGGTGCTCTCACTGCTTCAGCGGCCCAGGTTTGTTTCCTGGTTGCGAAACCACACCACCTGTCTGTCAGTAGCCATGCTATGGCTGCGGCTCACGTAGAAGAACTAGAAAGACTTACAGTTAGGATATGTGACCATACAGTGGGGTTTCGGGGAGGAGAAAAAAAAAGATTCAGGTTAGATATAAGGAGAAAAAATATTCTCATGGAGGCTTATTAAACTTGAAACTGTCCCTGAGGGAGGCCATATATTTTTAGAAGCTTCAAAAAATGGAGAGCTATTTCTATAATTTTTTTGATAGTTTTGATCCACATTTCTCAAAATTTTTGGTCTTTGGATCACTTTACACTCTTAAAACTTATTGAGGGCTCCAAGGAGCTTTTGCTTATGTGGGTCATATCTATTGATATTTACCATATTAGAAATTAAAAGTGAGAAATTTAAAAATAATGATAAATTTTAAAATAATAATAAACCTATCATATGTTAATGCAAATTACACTTTTTAATGGAAAATAAGTGCATATTTCCCCAAACAACAGCAACAAAATTAGAAGAATGACATTGTTTTACATTTTTGCAAGTGTCTTTAATGTCTGACTTACTAAAAGATAATTGAAATACATAAAGAAAATCCAGCCTCCCATACAAATATGTATTTGGAAAAAGGAGAGATGTTTTAATAGACTTTTAAGATAATTTTGAATATTCTTATTTGATACTGTACCAAAACTCAGTAAGTGGTGGTTTGTTTCATTGTGGAATCTGGAACTATATTAATGAACTTCTTATACTCTATTACATTAAAATTCACTGGTCTGTGTTATTTGGCTGGATCTTCTACCTATGCCTGATTTTGTAACGTTGTGTATTGGTCATTTGGAAAATATTGGTTCCCTGATTGATACAGATCTTCCAAATGTTAGCACCTAGTACCTTTTATCACATGATGTCAAAAAAGTCACATTTGTTACTATAACCACCAGTTTCATTACTGTTGGGAAGCTGGCATGTTCACAATGGATACAAATTTTCTGAAATTCTAATTTTCACTGTAAAGCCTGAATTTTATTATTGGTCACAAATGTCAGGTATTACCTTGAAGTAACAGTCTCACTTAGTTCATTTATGAGAAAATGTCTGCCACATATGCAAGTCTGAATAACCATAGTATGTCAGTCATTCTTTTAAGTAAAAATGGTGTTTTGTGGAAAAAGAAACTAGTACAACTCAACTGAAACCATTGCATGAGTGCTTTTCCCAGAGACGACCACTGCACGTCAGTATGCGTGGCAGGCAGCAGCAGGGCTTTATGTACACTAATCATTTCAGCAGAGTTTTAAAAATGTATGTTTTCAAGGACTGAAATTTAAAAAATTAATAATTTTTACTGCTTCATTCTTGAGTGAAACTGACATTGCAAGTGTGTGGCAGTGGAGGGAACAGTGATTGCTAGTACAGCTTGGTGCCACTGCCTTGGTTTTTGCTCCCATTGCTCTTGCACCATCAGTGAAATGTCAACACAGTGGAAAAGGCAGATGATGTCTTACTATTATTATGAATATAGTTTTGACCTCGCAGAACCCCCTGGAAGGGTCTCAGGGTCTCCCAGGGACTTATGAACAGCACTGAGAAACACTGGATAAATCTTGCCTGCAGACTCTAAAGAGGATACCTTTATGTGTCTAATTTACAATTGTTGGCATTTCTTCTTCTCCTCTTACTTAAACCTCTCACTTTTAGTCATTTTATTTTTTCTTCATGTCTTCGTCTACTTCCTTTTCCCTCTCCTAGGAGGTGGTCTAGGTGTGGAAGCGGTGATAATGATGATAGTATTAGCAGATATTGAGTGCTTATCATTAGCCAGGCAACTTGCTCAAAACTTCACTGTGTGACCATACGTAATCCTCACAACAACCCCTTGAGGCGGGTCTGATATTACCCTGATTTTATAGAAGAGAAAGCCAAGGCAAGAGGTGTTAAGTGACTTGCTAATGGATCACAGATAGTAAATGATGAAACTGGGTTTCTAAGTCAGGAACATGCTTTTGTCATCATTTCAGGAACTGATATATCTCTCATGGGTGTTTTTTTTTGTCAGCCATGCTCATAAGAGTGATATATAAAACCACAGTGCTGGTTTAATAATTAATAGTTTGATATAATCAAGGACTTGAAGTTCTTATGACTAGCAGTGTCTTTCCTCAGAGGCTGAAGTAAATAGAGAATTAAATAATAATCAGAAATTTACTTGACGAGCATGGACTCAGAAGAGGAGAATTAGATAAATCCATTTATTTGCGTTTATTGAATGCCTACTGTGGTCTAGGCACTATGCTTGTCACAGTGGCAATCGAATGTTTTAGTTGCATGAATCTAAAGTAGTCTGATGTATACATCTCACAGGAGGGCTGTCTTACCATTGGGACCAAAATACTCAGAATCTGTTTGCTGAGCTTCCCTCTTCCTTGTACATTACTTAAAAGAATGCTGATCATATTTGGTTTTTGCAGTTCTCCTTTTTCTGCTCCTCTATGGCTGAAAACCCTCTGTATGATTGACACATTCTTTAGCTATGTCAATTCATTTGATCAGGTTATTATCACCTTGTATGGACCTGGGACTCATTCTGTTTTTATATCTCTGTTCTTATCCAATATGTTTCAGCTAAAAAGGTAATACTTAGAGGCTGTTTAATGTACAGCATTTCCAGGTTCAGGTGGTGATAGGTGGGGATTAGGATGGAGTGTGCTCTTTATTGTACTTGTCAGTATTTTCAGTAGTCAGTAATTCTGGAAAAATATTTGATAGGAGAGAGAATTGAATTTTGACTGAAATTTGGTTTGGGAGTTGTTCTTTTGTTCAAGTTTGTGCTATCTGCATCACTTAGGTAACTGAAAACAGGCTAGCTTGTGAAATTGTAAACTATCCGGTCAGAGTCTGTATCTTATTTACCACTCTGGTGCGAAAATGAGTGCCAGGTCTTGTTCCTTCACACCTGAATTGTCACTGAGGGGAGAGTGGATGGGCCGTTGCAGAGAGTAGCCCCTGGACACCTGTGTGGACTGCCGTGCAGACTTCTACTAAAGAAAAAATGCCTGGTACTACCCTGCTGTTGTGCTGTTTTTTGTCCACTTTCCGTCTGCATAAATTGGTGGCAGGCGTAGCCTTTTGGGTTTTATGAGGGTGTGAGTGTTACTCTTTTCCCCCTAAATGGTTGATGTTTGATTGCAAGTTTTAAATCTTGGTTTTTCTGACATGTGTAGACCGATTCTTTACTCATTTTTTTAAAATTAAACTTTTTATTTCCAGATAATTGTAGAGTCATATGCAGTTGTAAAAAATAGTACAGAGAGATTCATGTACCTTTTATCCAGTTTCCCCCAATGGTAACATCTTGAAAACTATAGTAAAATATCACAACCAGTATATTGACATTGGTAAAATCCTTTCATCTTATTTAGATTTCTCTAGTTTTATTTGTATTCGTTTATATGTGTGTGTATGTATATATTTAGTTTTATGTATTTTTGTCACTTGCAGGTTTGTGTATCCACCACATAGACCCTTGTGGTTTCATCAGCACAAGGTTCCTAGTGTTGCCCTTTTATAGCCATATCCACTTTCCTCCTGTCCTTCCCCCTGCACCATCTCTGACTCCTGGCAATCAGTAATTTGTTCAGGAATGTTATATAAATATAACTATATACCCTCATGTACCACATAACAACGTTTCGGCCAATGACGGACTGCATTTATGACGGTGATCCCATAAGATTAGTACCATATAGCCTAGATGTATGGTAGGGTATGCCATCTACATTTGTTTAAGTATACTCTACAGTATTTGCACAATGACAAAATCACCTGACGACGCATTTCTCAGAACATATCCCCGTTGTTAAGTAACACATGACTATAGTATACAACTTTTTGAAATTGGCTTCCCCCCAATCAATATAATTTCCTTGAGATTCTTCCAAGTTATTGTGTGTATCAATAAATTGTTCCTTTTCATTGCTGAGTAATATTCCAGAGCAGTTGGTTTTTATCTTTTAATTCTCACTTGTTCTCTTTGTGGTTTGATAGAACAGCTCTGTGGCTATTGCCGATGTTGACTTGGAAGACAGAAAAAATAAATCGGATACTGTGCAGCCTCTGAAGACAGCGAAGACAAAAAGGAAAAATTCAGCTCAGTCACCTTCAGCTCAGAGGACCAAAAAGCTGAAAGTTGATGAAGAAACCCACAAAGCCAGCAACTTGGAGAGTGGGAGTAACAGTTCAGAGACACCGTCCACAAGCACTATGTGGGAAGGTGCATGCAAGAAGGAAGAGAATGAAGATGATGTTACATTCGGTCAGTCCCCTTTAAAGAGAGTGAAGACCGAAACATGTCCTCAGGGGGAGCCTGTCAGGTTTCCGGCAGACGCCCACAATATTAAAGAGGAGGTGGAAATGAACTGGGACATAGTACAGGTATGTGCAGCCTTTTTCTGTTACCGTAGTTTGTTTGATTCCTTTCTTTTTGATTAGGTTGGGGTGGCACTGGCTGAGGGAGAGGTTGGGAGTTTTCAGTTATCTTTTCAGTTTTACCAGTGATTTCTGGAGGCTTTGGCCACTGGTTCGCTTCCTGGGCACACTGTTTTGTAGGATAACTTATCATCATCAGTCCTTGAGCTAAGAGCTGGGACCTCAGGCCAGGTAGGTCTCTGCCATGGTGTTCTGGTGAATACATACTATAGAGACAGATTGTACAAACAGATTGGGCCTTCATAGTTCATTGTTAAGTTTTTGCTTTGAATTTGGACTGTATTTCCCCATAAAAGCAGTGCAAGTGAGTAGGTCATTGGCCATTAGTGCATTTATTTATCTCTTAGTATAATGTTGTAATATACTATGAACAAGGCCTAGCAATTTCTTAAAAGGAAAATCCTATCCAAATTCCAACTTGAGATGCCATAATTATATCTCTTACTACAGGGGAAATCAGATTTCTCCCAGTTTCTTTGGCTGGCTTTGGGGATGGTAGAGAAGACGTGAAGAGTGACTCTTAAACAATGATTTTCAACCTTTTGTCTGCCCCCAAACACCTTGGGAACATTTGAAAAGTAGTTGCAGCATCGCCCCTTAGGGGCTCCCTCCCTGTGGTCTGTCCCCTGGTGATTCTGATGTGTTCTCCTTCCCCTGCTGTGAATTGCTTCTCTAGAGCCCAGGGCCTCTGCTGGATCCTAATAACTACTTCTCAGTCAGGCACTGTCTTATTTTACCTTTTTCTTCAGAGGAATTTTTTTTTTTTTTTTTTTTTTTTACCTATGTTGCCTTTTATTTCTGTTACCTATTAGTAGAACATCACCAGGAATTTTTTTTTTTTTTTTTTTTAAAGATTTTATTTTTTCCTTTTTCTCCCCAAAGCCCCCCGGTACATAGTTGTGTATTCTTTGTTGTGGGTTCTTCTAGTTGTGGCATGTGGGACGCTGCCTCAGCGTGGTCTGATGAGCAGTGCCATGTCCGCACCCAGGATTCGAACTAACGAAACACTGGGCCGCCTGCTGCGGAGTGCGCGAACTTAACCACTCGGCCACGGGGCCAGCCCCCATCACCAGGAATTTTTGATTATCATTTTTCTTCTCTCTGGCCCACTAAGGAATAGAGTGTTCCCTTATAGCTTTTTTTAAATTCTTGTTCCTAAACAATCCAAAGTTTCTTGGAGAAACAGTATACTTAGGCTTCTTTCTAGTCCTTCTTTTTCTTTATTCATTTAGGCCTACATGTTTTAAAAGGGTGGTTCATGGACTACCTGCGTCAGATTCACTCTGAACCTTTCTTAAATGCAGTTTTCTTGGTTCCAGTCAAGACCTGTGGGGCTGGGTGGACATGTGCCACTTCCCTTCCCCTTTCCTAACACTTCAAAGTTTCTTTCTCTCATTGACATAGATTCACCTCTAGCAGTCGACAGTGAAGAAGAGAGAGGGAAGGAGGTGTCAAAGAACATAAAGTCTCTTGAACTGTAATAATAAGTTGTTCAAAATTAAGTCAAGGGCTACTTATTCTATGATACTTTGCTTCACACCCCATCTCCTAATCTATGTAACAGAGAAAGATGAAAATGGTCCTGCCTTAGCCAGTTGTCTCTTGGTTATAAGGAATAGAAAACTATTTGTAATGAGCTTAAGCAGAGAAAGAGTTTATTACCAAGAACACAGGGGCCTTTCAAAGAATGCCAGGGACAACTGTGATCAGTCTTGCAAAGGCCTTGAACCAGAAATTGGAAAACTGTGAGGACTTGAGGAAGAGAGTTGCTCAGTTTTCTCTCTCTCAGGGGTTTCCTGATCACTCATTTCTGCTGCTTCACTGTCCGAATTATTTTCTCCCTCGGCAGATCAGATTTCTCTGCTTCTTTATAGAGGGTGGAAAATGACAACTCCCCAACCACTTGCCATTAGTTTTAGCCTGTGAGGAGGGAGAAGTGTATGGTGAAAGAGAGGTGCCAACTGCCAGACTGTGAGTGGAGTGGAAGCTTCATTTATAAGCAGGTGGCAGCCATGCCCATTGTTGTGTTGTTGGAATAGTAAATGGGAGCAAGTTATCTCATTTTAAGGTCCTGGAACTGGTTTATGGCCTTTGGTCATATCATTTGGGTAGTATAGGTATACTTGTCTTCCAATTCCAAGCAGTTTTTTTCTCCTCCTCCTCTTTATTGGAAGTGATTTTTGACATCTGAAACAGCCTAGTCTGAGAATCTGGCACTCCTGGCTTGCGAGCTGGGAGGAGTGGTTGCTACAGCATCCACCTTTGCTGAACCCCTGATGGCAACTGGTAAGCTCAGCAGTTTCTAGATGGGTTTAGGGAAACTGCCAAGGAGACTTTAGGTATGATTTACATGTTTGGGTTTTAAAAAATTTAACCAGATGCAGTCATCCTTGTCCAACCTTAAATTAACTTTTACAGACAATTCTTGTGGTATGTGTGGATTTCCTTTCTTGTACTTTTTTATTCCCCCATAAACAGGAGAAACTTTGTGGGAGAGAAAATAATTTTATCTTAGCACCACATTCCTTCTTCTAAACGTGGTTGAGAACAGCGGCAGTTGTTGGGGGAAAGCAGACTGAGAAGAGTGAGAGTCAGCAGTGCCAAGTCAGACAATCAGGAAGCTTCTTGAACATTTGGATGAGGACCAGACTCAATGAAATGCCTATAATATGCATGTTATCTGCCACAAAACAAAATGTATGTCCAACCTCTTAGGAAGAAATCCTGAAAAGTACCTACTTAGTAAGGAACGGTCAATGGAAATTAATTGTATAGGAATTATTAATTATTTCTAATTGAACATGTGGGAAATGTCATTTATATTTCCTTCATTTTGCATGCTGTTTCCCGAGGACCTGCCCACCATAACACCTTGATCGTCTGTTTTTTCCCTTGGTGTGTTTCTCAACTCTGAAACGTCCACTGCTTTATCAGGAACATCGCTGTCTTTTTGGGAAGGGAAAACTACATTGCCAGTACTTGATTTATCTGTAGTCATTACATGTAAACATACTTTGTGTCTCTTTCCTAATCAGGCATCGGGGATCACTGGATCCCTCGAGTGGAAGCAGCGTGCTCTTAAGCCCTTTCCCCCAATCTAAGTACGTGTGGTTGCCGTCAGAAACTAGTTTTGTTAAAATACATTCTATCGTTGTGCAAATATGTTGTGAATACCATGACCTTTAGGAATTTGAAGAGGTGACTAGTCACAAACAGTTTTTGAGAAAATCCAATCCTCCGAAGAGCTGATTGCTGTTATATATAGTCTCTTTATTTTGAGGGGAGTGGGAGTAGGGGAGTGGAGCAGCCTTATATAAAATCTTTGTAAAGTTTGGTAAATTAGGGAAGAAAAGCAAGCAAAAGCCTCTTTATTAGCTATTTTCCTTGTTCTTGCAAGAGATGATGTGGGATTATATGGGTGAAAAAGACCACGGGATGGCAAAACTGGGGACAGAAGTGGGACAGGAAGGAGATGAATGTTCTCTGAGTTGGCTTTCTCACTGCAGTTCTGCACATAAGCACAGCACCATCCGTTAGGTTAACCTCTTTGTTCCAGGAGGGATTAAGTAAAAGAAATTGTAGCTTTTTTTGAAGCGTTTTTAAAAAAACTTTTTGAAGTATATATACAGAAAATTGTGCAGCTCATGAATGTTCAGAAGTATAACCATGTAACCAGCTTGTGGATCTTCGAGATCAAAAAACAGAACATGACCAGCCCCCCAGAATCCCCTTTCATACATACCTTTTTCTGACCCTCCCATCCCTTTTCCTGTTATAGGACTTCTAACAGCATTGATTAGTTTTTCCTTTGTGGTCTTTAAGGAAACTTTTTTTTGTGATAAAATAAGTGATACAATAAAATGAATCTGTAAGGGTAAAGAGAACAGCAGGAATTATAGAAGACAGGTGTCTGGTTAGTGGTTTGGAAATGATTTTGAGTAGAAAATTCTCTCTCTCAATTCTACTCAATAGAGTGTCATTTAATTTAGATGTTAGTTCTTTTAAAATGCAGCTGCTGCCTGGATGATTAAGGCCATAGTTCATTTGCTGATACCCAGATGTTTTCTTTATCACTGAGGGAATGGGTATATAGATTTGGAGGAGTAAATCTCAGGACAATTTGGGAAAAAGCCATTTCATTGGAGGTTTTAGACACCAGCGGGCAGTATGAGGGCATGCTTCACCTATCTGTGATAGGTTCAGGAGGAGAAGTGAGGTGATTTGCTTAATTTGTATTTTTGCCTAAATAATCACCTTGCTTTGCACACAAATTGAATTTTTGAAAAGGTAATATAGCTCGTGGGACTTTGGGTAATTTACTTAACTTCTTTGGGCCTCAGCTTTTGTATCTGTAAAATGGGAACAATAATAATAATACCTGTCTCTTACAGTTTAAATGAGTTAATATTGAATATGTAAAAGTGTTTAGAACATAATAAGCCCTATAGAGGTGTTAGCTTAAAACAACAGTCACAAAAAGTGCCTTTCTATTTAATTCTTAGAGATGAAAAAAAAAATCTCGACTGCCTTCTTTTTTACTTTACTCTCATTCCTATCTACCAGTTAACTGTAAAAATCATTTAAGTATGTTAAATAACAAAAATTCAACAGGTAGATTTTTTTTGCTTTTTGCTGAGGAAGATTCGCCCTATGTTAACATCTGTTGCCAATCTTCTTTTTTTTGTATGTGAGCTGCTGCCACAGCATGGCCACTGACAAGATGAGTGGTATAGGTCCACGCCTGGGAACTGAACCTGGGCCACTGAAGCAGAGCGCGTCAAACTTAACCACTAGGCAACTGGGGCTGGCCGTTCAATGGGTAAATTTTAAAGATCTAGTTGGCTTTATTAAATGATTCATGAATTGGACAGCATCCCATCTAGCAAGCAGAGAGGAGCTCAGAGGAGCTGTACCAAATGGAGGGCTGTTATAGGCGGAAGGGGGAT